TGAGAAATGAGTTGGGTCACTGAGCAGACATCTTGACACTGAATAGGAAAGAACCAGGACAAGTTTGTGAGCATCCCCCAAAGGAGTCAGGACCAGCTCCCACCCAGGACCAGCTGCATGATACTGCAAACTCATAAAATGGTGTTTTGGGCTCCAGGCTCCTCTCAAACTATACCAAGTCACTCATTTCAGATCATGGGGACCTGAAAACCAGGAGAAGTAACTCACCCAAGGTCCCACAGTCCCCATGTTCTCCTGCCTTGCAGCTTGAACACTGTGCCCAACCCTTTCCATGAGGTCCTAGTTTTCTTTCCACTGCTGTGATAAACAACTATGGCCAGGATGAATTTGAGGAAAGAAATGACTTAATTTGACTTACAAAATTACAGTCTATCAGCAAGGGAAGCCAGGGAGGAACTCAGGGCAGGAACATGGAGGCAGGAACTGAAGCATGTCTATAGAGGAACAACATTTACTGGCTTGTTCCCTTTGATTTTCTCAGCCTGCTTTCTTATGCAACCCAGGATCACCTGCCCAAGGTGGCACTACCCACAATAAGCTGGGCCCTCCCACATTAATCATTCATCAAGAAAATGTCCCCATAAACATGCCTACTGGCCAATATGAGGGAGGCAATTAATTAAGATTATCTTCCCTTGGTTGACTCCAGTTTGTATCAAGTTGACAAAAATGAACCAAACAGATGCCCATGATATCTGCCATTCAGAGTCACAGCTAAGGTTCCTTAAGGCCTGTGGTGGGATACATGTCCTGAGCAGAAGATGATAGATTCCCCATGCTCTGTTCAAAGATGCATCTACTGCCAAAAACCTTCAATGGGACAGAGGTCCCTTCACCTCCTGTCAATTAGTATTCATCAAATCTATCTGGGAGAGATGGCCCAGAGTTAAAAAGCACTTGCTACTCCTAAAGAGGACTCGGGTTCAGTTTTAAGTACCCTGTCAGGCCACTCAATGCCGATAACCCAGCTCTAGGGGATCCAATGTCCTCTTCTGGATTCCATGGACACCTGCGCTCTCTGTCTCTGACTCTGACTGGCTCTGACTCTGACTCTGACTCTGTCTCTGTCTCTGTCTCTCTCTATCTATCTATCTCTATCTCTTAAACACACACACACACACACACTAAATCTTTTTTTTTAAGTGAAGCAATTTGCCTTGCTTCCTAGTATTTATACATGGCCAGGTGCCTCATTTCCAGACTCATTCAGCATCTGTAAAGTCCCCAGGGGCACTGACGCCAAATGCAGTGTGTTTACTGTCCACAGATGCCCAGAGCACAGATCCACTGAAGATGGGGGAGAAGCTTAAAATAATCCTGTGCAAATTGTACTGTCCAAACAGAGGCAGAAATGGATGAGGATTATCAGGTGCAGGGAAATGGCTACTTTGCCATCAAGATGGAGCCTTTGTTTCTGGGAACTATTAGGAAACCTTGAAGATTTGGATGTTGTTGTTGAACACATACAGTAATGTTGAATTTAAGGTTTGTTGATTTGTTTGCTTGTGTCTTTTTTTTGTCTTGGGAGGAAGCAGATTTTTAAGATTTATTTTACTTGTATGTGTGTCCACAGAGGCCTAGGAGCTGGAGTTAGAGGCAGTTGTGAGCCACCTGATGTGGGTGTTAGTATCTGAACTTGGGATACTAATCTGATGGAGCAGTAAATTGCTTTAACTGCTGTGCCAGTTCTAGCCCCATTCTATTTCTTTCCTCAGAAAGAATTTCACTATGTATCCCAAACTGGACCCAAACTTGTAACAACCCCTCTGCCTCAGCCACTCAAGTCCTGAGATTGTAGGGATATACCACCATGCCCAGCTTGAATCATTATTGAATCAGTTTTCCTCAGCTGCTCTCATCGTCTCGGAAACAGTCATCGCTAAGTCTGAGTGTTACAGATACATTATAGATATGTCTCCCACACAGTTCTTTCCCTATCAGTGAGAACGACCTCAGGCTGTGGACACTGACAAACAGCGGAGGCTCCAGTGCACAAAGCTCTCCTTTTACATCTAGTTGCCATTGTACTGGCCAATATGGTCCCTATCCTGGTTAGGTTTCATTGTCAACTTGACACAACCTAGAATCACTCAATAAGAGAGAATCTCACTTGAGGCATTGCCTTCCTCAGATTGGCCTGTAAGCAAGCCTTGCTTAATGATTGATATGAGAGGGTCCTGCACACGATAAGCAGTGCCACCCCTAGGCCAGTGGTCCTGGAGTGTATAAGAAAGTAAACTGAGCAAGTCATGGGGAGCAAGCCACTAAGCAGTGTTCCTCAGTGGCTCTCCCTCAGTTCTTTCCTCTCCCTACTGGGATAACACAGGCAATACCAATGGGAGCCATTGCTACACTATGTATTACAATGCATAGAAAAACAAACATGAATAATAAATACATAAATAGTTGTCAGTGTTCACCCATCCCTGTACATATTGCACCCCACTTAACTATAAATGGCCCTGACTTATCATAGATACAGGCACCCTCATGTTTGCACACACCAATCTCTGTGACATTATCTGCTCCATATCCACAGTCTAGTGTCTGTGCACAGCTGTTACATACCTTCCTTTGGGATACATGACACCCCCATCAATTTATGCAGAAGCCCATCCCATGACGGGACCCCAGCTGCACTACTAGCCACATACAATGACAATGTCCTTCATCAGTCCAGTACAGTTGCATGAGACATAAATAGGGCATTTTCAGAGCCTGAGCAAGGACAACCAGGAAATCCTAGCATACCTTACAAATCTCCTAAGATACACCAGACTGTGTCTGTGTTTTTATTACTGTGTATAATAGTCTAATTACTTTTAAATTGTTAACCAATGTACCAATATTTACAAACACTTCCTATTAGCAGGCATATTTGATTAATTAATGGGTGTCTCGATCATCATTCAGTCACCACACAATGGTTGAGCATCAATTAAGTTTGAGACAACAGGGTAGACACCTGGGGGATTAGAGAACAAATAGGAAATAAATAAAAGAAAATTATATGATCCTTGCCATTGGGTATAAACAAGTACAGCTTCAAAAACAAACAGTTGGGACTGGCAAGTGGTTCACTGGGTAAAGGCACTTGCCATCAAGAGTGATAGCTGAGTTTGATCCCCAGGACCCACATGGTGAACAGAAAAAAAATTATTCCTTTGAGTTGTCCTCCGATCATCATGCATATATATGTATATATATATATGCACATACATACACACATGCACATAGATATATAGATAGATGTAATTTAAAAATTTTAAAGTCAGTGTAACTGTGCACATCTGAGATCCTGCCATACAGAAAGCTGAGACAAGAAACAAAACCCCACAAATAAAAGTATAACAGCTGTCTCATGGATTAATAGGACATGGTGAGTGAGGGAGAGAAAAAGATGGGAACACAGGAGACACTGACTGGAAGTCCTAGGAAGCAGGAATATTGGTAGAGTCTGGAAGGAATCAGTGGCCTGGAATTCGGTGGGTAAACTTGGGCTACAGCAGGACATGAAGGAAAAGGAACATGAGGTGCAGAGTTGAGCAGCAGACATTACAGCAGATCATTAGACAATTAGCAAGGATGCCAATAGAGAAGGAGTTGGGCAAGGGTAAAGCATGAATGGGTCAGTGATGGAATGCCTACCTAATGTGTCCAGGACCCTGGGATCAGTCCTCAATCAATGAAGACAAAGGTTCAAGAAAGAAGGCAAGCACAGAACGAATCAAGACACACACACACACACACACACACACACACACACACACACACACACACCTCACTCTACTTCTGTTTCCTCCATCTTTGAAGATCACATACTTCTGTCAGGGGAGCACATGGATTCCTCCATCTGAGTATAGCTGTAGACTTCAGGCCTCTTAGGGACCCAAAGCAACCCAAGTGATTGCTCTTCAACTCTTAGGCCTCTAATTGTGACTTGTATTGATATCCGGGCAGCTTCGGGACTTTGCTTAGACATTACTAACTTTTAAGGGAAAAGAGGCCTGACAGCAATATCTTGGAGCATCACCAGACACTTGGTTTCTGACCTCCCAACTCTTGGTAACAAGCATTAACTGATCAACTCTGATCCCTGTGTTACACCTTTCACTACCCTGCCTCAACTTTGCCCACCCTACCACCTTTTTATAAGCAGTGTTGTGAGTTATTGGTGATATTTTGGTATAGACTTTAAGCACTGGGTTAAGAAAAAGAAAAGTGCTCAAAAGGAAAGACATCCATGAAGTCCCATTTTTTTCTTTGTATTTTTTGGGGGGAGTGGGAGTAGTGTTTGCTATGTAGCACGGGATGGCTTCAAACTTACAGCAATCCTCTTGTCTCAGCCTCTGGAGTGCTGAGTTACAGATGTGAACCACCTCCAGTTTCTAATGGTGGATTTCTAAAATACTCGTTTTGTAATGTAAGCACCCATGTGAATAAGTATATAAGCCTGAAAAAGGTTGGCAGTTGAATTTGTATTTCCATATGCATTTGACTGTAGCAACTTTTATTTATCTATTTACTTGTGTTTACAATAGCGGATGCTGAGGAGAACTTGAAAGGAAATGGTTATGTTATCTTGGAGATCCTTTAGCTGCCCACACACCTGTGAGAGTGCAGGTGCCCAAAGCAGAACTGAGCCAACCACACTGACCCCTCACACTCCTCCTCAAGGGAAACACAGACCCAACCCCTCATCCTCCTCTCCCAAGGAGACCCAGCAGCAACTGTGATGACTCATAAGCGCAGACACTGTGAGGAGTCCGAGACTTCTCAAGCTGTCAGACATTGGCTGTCTGCCAGGCTCCGGGCTGGCTTCTGCTGGAGCTGCATAAACAGTATGGTCTGTGCCTTCTTAAAGACCAGCTCAACCTCAAAGCACTCCCAGAGGTCTTACATGGATGGCCAAGGCTGGTGTCTGATCAGAGCATGGAGAATAGTCACCATCAACCTTGTGCTTCTCTCTCTCTTCTTAGCCTTGCTGCTTCCAAGGAGGCTGAAGCTGCCCGCTCTGCACCCAAGCCTATGTCACCCTCGGACTTCCTGGATAAGCTCATGGGGAGGACTTCTGGGTATGATGCCAGGATCAGGCCCAACTTTAAAGGTAGGAAACATTTCTTTCAGAATCACAGGAAAAGTTCTCCTGTGATATACACATGCTGTGACCCCACAAACACACTTCCTTCTCCACCCAAGGTAGACATTGCTAATCAATGCAATCTCTTTTCCCAACAAGTCCAGACAGAGCCTCAGAGAATTCAACTCAAAAGCACATCTGGTCTCTGGGAGTCAGTAAGTGAATTAAAGTCTATTTTACTATGTCTAGTGTCGTGGGTCAAGTTTTGGCTGAAGCACCATCTTCCTCTGTGAGCCGGGACAAGCACCTCCTTTGTCTGAGTCTAGGTTTTCTCATTTCTGCAATGCAAGTTTGACTGCATGTAGAGTCATGAGGCAGGATTCTTGGAGTTTTAGGGTTCCACCAGGAGTCCTAAGAAGAAGACATGGGTGAGGACTGGGTCTACCTCAGCCTTGACCCAAGGAGCACCACTTCTGTTTGTCCTACTCAAACCTACCTGCAGGAGGCTCCACAGAATAACAAACAATTCTGCAAGTTTCTCGTCTAAATGAAACTCACCATAACACATGCCTAATAAAGTCATTTTGGCTCATAGTTGGGGGAGACACAGCTCATCTGGTGGTCAAGACCCAGCAGCAGGGTTGATCTCTGTGGTTCCTCTCCCTTTCTCCTCTTTGTTCAGTCCAGGATGGAAGCCCATGGCATGAGGCTGCCCACATTCAGAATGGGTCTTTCCAGTCAAAGGTCAGACACGACCAGGTAGAGACAGTGAATAAAAAGAGCCACAGGATCCTGTGAATGAAGACGGCTCCCCCTTGTTCCCAGACTGTAGGTTCCCCATGGGAATATGATCCCCGTGTGGCCAGGTGAGTTAATAGTCCAGGAAGACCCAAAACTGAGGCCTACAAGAAATTTCTAATTCCTAAATTATGTAAATTCAAACAAAGCATGTTCAGGGTCCAACACTGCCAAAGTACACGTGCCAGTCCAGGCAGCTAGACAATGTTCTCTGCACTCATAGTCCCATTGGGACCTTAGTACCACTAACAAGAGGAGATCAGGACTCTGTGTTCTCTGACACCTTTGAATGCTGTCTTAAGTGACCTGAATCTGAAGGCATGGCCTTAAGAACCTCTTAGGACCCCATGTACCCACATCTTCTACATAGCACCCTGTAAAAATTGTATTCCAAGAGCCAACAATAATAAAACAAATTCTTGGTTCTGGGTGTTTCGCCTTGTCACTTATGTGGCTCAAGTCCAAGAGTAAAGGTGGATTTGACAGCTGGAAACAGTTATCTATTGCGTACCTATATTGCCTCCACATGCCCCCCCCCCCCCCCGTCCCATTCTCCATACCCCCTCCTCTGACTGCTCTTATATTACCTCCACACGCCCACCCATTTCATTCCTTATACCCCTTTTCTGACCATTTTGTCCACAAGTCTCTGCAGACAGAAAATTATCTGGGAGATGCCTGGGGGGTTGTGTGAATGCCCACATACTAGCCTTGTTTCCCTACCAGTACCTTCACTGGTCCCCCTACCACCCTTTCATCATAATTAGCACAGCTTTGTTTCTTGGAGTTTCTGTTGCTATGACAAACACAATAACCAAAAAAAAAAAACCCACTTGGAGGGAAAGACATTTGGTTTAGCTTACACTTCCACATCATAGTCCATCAGTGAGGGAAGTTGGATGAGAACTCCAGAAAGGAACCTAGAGACAGAAACTGATGCAAGGACCATGGAGGGATGCTGCTTGCTGGCTTGCTCAGTTTGCTTTCTTATACATCCCAGAACTACCTTCCAAAAGAAGCATCACCCACAGTGGGCTGGGCTCACCTACACTAATTAGGAAAGTATATCACAGGCCAATCTGGTGGGGGCATTTTCTCAACTGAAGTGACCAAATGTCTCTAGCTTGTGTCAAGTTGACATAAAACTAGCCCGCACACCTTGGTTCTCCTAGGAACAGGACACTTGATAATACAGTTGGCTGGAGTACTTCCCCAAGTTAAAAATCTCAAATGCCTGGAGGGGCAGATAAGCTACGAGGCTGGTACAAGATGAAGATAAGAAACATATAGAGAACTTGGGGCTAGAGAGACAGTTCAGTGAGTTAAAAGTACCTGCAGTTCAGATTTCTGACACCGATGTAAAAGCCAGGCACGTCTACACATGACTGTAACACCAGGAAAGCAGACACAGGCAGATCTCTGCCCCTCCCAGCACCCCATTGATGAGATCTAGGCTCTGTGAGAGACCCTGACTCAAAAGATAATGTTTAGAGCAATAGTCAGAGACACCCAACCTCTACCTCTCCCTTTTGTCTTCTCTTTATCCAAATAAATAAATACTTAAAATATAGAAAACACAAGTCCTTCCTAGATCCAATCCTCCTCAGTTCCTGCCCAGGGCTTCCAGGAAGGAGTGAAAACTGACTGAGGTTCTATGTCAAAATCTCTGAAACTAACACTAAATAGCATCTTTTGATAATACCATTGGCTAAGCCAAATCAATTCTGGCAGAGGAGAGTACGGACCTTAGCCACCAAGGTGGTACCAATTGCCTGTAGCTAGCTGTTTTTAGGAACTGAGTCCACAACACACCCTGGTGGATTCTTTCAGAACTTCACCATATCAAGGTCTTGTCAAATGGTAGGGTCACCTAAACAGAGGCTTATTTTCCTCCTTCATTGAGCCCCAGACACAGGTTTTTCCTTTTACTTAGCCTCATACTATACAGATGCTCCAAAGAGTTACCTCCAAGGTTCAAGGGCTATTCTTTGTGCATGCCACCGTACTTCACACACAGAAGGCCCTCAAAAAGCTTGTGTAGCCCAAGCTGAGCTCAAAGTCAAGATCCTCCTGCCTCAGTCACCTGAGTGCTGAGATTACAGCGTGCACCTCGGTGCCCCTCTGAAAATCTTACTTAGAACACTTGAGCCCCAAATCTACAGGATTACATAGCTGTCCTCCCCACTGGCTCCCCTTCCTCCCATGCCTGGCTAGAAGCAAGGTCCTCTCAGGTGCAGCTCTAACCCAGGAGCTAGAAGTATGGCTTTGCTCCTCCCCTTTCTGACTAAAGCAGAAAGGTAAACCTACTGCACCCCACCTCCTCTCCTTATCTCACTTCGGACTCAAACATGACTTCCAAAGCCCAGGAAAACCCCCGCCTTCCTAAAATGACCTTGCAGCTCAGATTCCAAAGGCACACACACACACTTACACACATGCATGCCACACACGTGGGCGTGCACACACACAGTTTGAAGCCTCAGCAATTCCTCTGCAGCTTTCCTGTACAACATGAGCAACCTGCTTCTGGCCAGCCTGAAGTCTGAGGTGGCCAAGAACTACAGACACTTGGTCTGCGGAGCCCAAAGTCAATTCACACTCTAATACGGATGTAAACAGCCCTAAAACTACTTATCCAGCCTATGTTCCCACTCCCCAACTCCCCACCGCAACCCCCCCTAGAGATCCCTTCTTGGGCCTGAGCCTCTGTCTTAGCATCCAAAGAGGGATGCAAGGAGAAGGACCAGGCCCTCCCAGCTCTGAGGCTTTGCCTGGACTAAGGCTCTGTGTGCTGCAGTGACTTCCAGGATCAGGGGCACAGCCCCATGCAAACACATACACAAAAGCAAAATTAAACTTTAATATTTAATGAAATATATACATTATCCTGCTGCCAATGGCAACTGGATTGTAATTTTCTCAAGATAATTTAATTTCAGATTTATATCCATGAACCAAACCTCCCCATGAGGTCTTTTTGGCTGGTGCCCTCACACTCTCATACATCAGCATCTCATTAATATGGGAGTCACAGTGCCGGATGCACGCAGCCCTGTGTGCATCACCTCAAGGCATGAGCAGTAGCTCTTTGGGGCATCTAAATGACACGAGGCTAAATAGAAAGAAAAACCTGGATCTGGGGCTAAATGAATGAGGGAAATAAGCTTCTGTTTATGTGCCCCCTAACAAAGCAGTGATTGTTGCCCAGCACGGGCAAACAATACTTTTAATATGCAGAGTTATCCAGTGATGAAGGTTTTGAATGGAGGATGTGATCCTCCCCAGCAAACCCCAAACCTAGCTATGCATTCGAATCACCCAGGTGGCTTGTTAGACAACAGGCCTTGTGTTAAAGAGTCACCCCTAAGGTCTGAGACCAGGGCCCTGCAATTTTTGTTATATTTTGGGCTTTTTTGAAACAGGAGTCTTGCTCTAGAGCCCATGCTGACCTCAGATTTCTGACCATCCTGTATCAGCCTCTAGGGTGTTAAAATTACAGGCATGGACCACCACAACTCACAGGCTCTGCCACTAAATTTTTTCAGATGGCCTCAGCCACACACAAGTCTGGAAAGCAATTGGTGAAGTGATGGAAAGTACCCCGATCCCACTAGCCCATAATCTAGACTATAGGCTAGCTTCCCTGAGAAGATGCCAAACCATTAGAGGTAAGACAGGCCACCTAGCTTCCCCCACCAGTTTCTGCCTCACACAGGTTGTCCCCTGACACTTTCATTACCATCCCTCCCTTATCCTTTAACTGTCTGACCTTCACATATAATATTCTCTGGAATGCCCCCTCCACCAGGCCTTTTCTTATTATTTACCTGTTCATCTGAAAAGGAAATGCAGATGTCCCAGGAGGCCAGAGGCAGACTGACTTTCAAGAAGAAGCTGGGGTGGGTGGGCAGCTCAGTAGGTTAGGGCTAGGTCTTGAGTTCCATCCTCAGCAATGGGTGTCAGGGGAGAAGAGAAGTAGGAGGAGGGAGGCCCTTCAATGATAAATACTCACCCACCTGAGGGATTTCCCACCCACTGTCTTACTGAAACCCCTGTATCCCTAAAAGCTCTTGATACTCCCTGAGCCCTTGAAGATAGATATTTGAGATAGGGATTTCCTTAATATTCCTCTAGATCAGCTTTGAATAAATTTGCTTCCAAAACAAGAAGGAAGATGATGAGGAGGATGGCAATGAGGATAATGATAATAATAATATTAACAATAATGTCCAGCCTTTCCCTCCAAACTGCTGGGGGGCCTGAGATTCAGAAAATAGAAGAGTCTGTCTTTTGCTGCAAGAGCAAGTGAGGCTGGGATTGTTTGTATGTATACCCCAGAGGTTGACACTCACTGCCTTGAGGGGAGACCTGGATTCTCACTCCAAGAGGATTCTTCCTCCTATCCATCAAGCCTTCCAAGACAAAGAGAATCTTAGCCAAGTTTATGTGCAAGCTCTGGGTTACCTTTTGAAGATAAGCATGATAGATCGGGTACTAGAGGACATAAAGCTGTCCACTTTCTTCTTTCCACAATCAGAAAACTTTGGTTCAAGACCTGGCTCTTCTGCCTTCTACCCAGTGAGCCCAGATAAGTGACTAAAGCCCCTTGTGCTCCTTTGAGAAGTGGTGATAATTATGCCCTTGGTGCCTCAGCACCTCCTGAGATCAACAAGAAATAAGCCCAGGAGACATTCACAATTATTACCCTTCAAGTAAAGGTCAAAGACCTATCTGAGTCCTAAGCACCTTCAAGGTTAGACCAAAGTCAGCTCCTCTCTGAGGTCTCCCTGTCTTTGTCTTCAGACCCTTTCTCAGCTGGACTCTCTTCCTTTGACCCCTCTTGCTCATGGTGCTATGCCTTTCTCTAGCTGTTTTATGCTTGCTTATATGGAAACCCCATGTTTAATCTTCTAGATTCTTCCAGACACAATAGAACATGCCTGAAAATTCTGGCCCTCAAAAGGGAGAGGCAGAGGATCACTGGAGCTCCACATCAGCCTGGGCTACAGGATAAGATTTGTACCATAAAGAGGAGTGGGGAAAGCTGGGTAGATAACTAAATTGGTAAAGTACTTGCTTTGCAAGCCTGAGGACCTGAGTTCAACCCCAGCACCCAGGTAAAAACCAGTCACATCATTCTAATACTAGGAGGTAGAGGCAGGTGGGTCTTTGGAGCTTGATGACCAGCTAACCTAACCTACTGTGGTAGTTTGAATGAGAAATTGCCTCCCCCTGTGTAGGCTTTGACATAGTCGGTGGTGCTGTTTGGGGAAGTGCAGGAGGTTGAGCCTTGGTGAAGTGTGTCACTGGGAGACAGACAACTTTAAGAACATATAGCCTTGCCCTACTTCCAGATTTCTCTCTCTCTCGTTCTCTCTCTCTCTCTCTCTCTCTCTCTCTCTCTCTCTCTCTCTCTCTCTCTCTCTGTCTGTCTGTCTCTCTCTCTCTCTCTCTCTCTCTCTCTCTCTCTCTCTCTCTCTCTCTCTCTCTCTCTCTCTCTCTCTCTCTCTCTCTCTCTCTCTCTGCTTCATACTTGAGGTTAAAGATGTGATCTCCTGGCTTTCTACTCCTGCTCCCATGCTTCCATGCTTGCCCCTTGATGCTGTGTCTCCTCTGCCATGTTGCACTCTTATGTGACTGGAACCATAAGCCTTAAAAAGCTCTTCCATCCCAAAGTTGCTTTTGATCATGGTGTTTCATCAAAGCAACAGAAAAGTGGCTAATACACTGAGGAACTCTATCCCCAAAAACAAGGTGGGTGGGGACCTAAGGAATAATGAGTAAGGTTGCCATCTGACCTCCATCTGTGCACATACACAGAGAGACAGAGAGACAGACAGACAGACAGACAGACAGATGGACAGACAGACAGAGACAGAGACACAGACAGACAGACAGACAGACAGACAGACAGACAGACAGACAGACAGACAGACAGAAGATTCTGCCCCTGGCTACATGACCCTGCTTCTTCCTCCCTCACAATCTGCTGTTAAGAATTAGACAAATCTTCAAATGAATCATAGACCTCAACATAAATCCAGCCACACTGAACCTCTTAGAAGAGAAAGTGGAAGGTACCCTTGAATGAATTGGTACAGGAGACTGCTTCCTGAACATAACTCCAGTAGCACAGATACTAAGATCGACAATTAATGGGGCCTCCTGAAACTGAGATGCTTCTGTAAGGCAAAGGACACAGTCAGCAAGACAAAAAGGCAACCCACAGACTGGGAAAAGATATTCACTAACCTCACATCTGACAGAGGGCTGATCTCCAAAATTTACAAAGAACTCAAGAAGCAAGTCTCCAAAACACCAAAGGATCTGATCAAAAAATGAGGTACAGAACTAAATAGAGAAGTCTCAGTAGAGGAGACTGAAATGGCTGAGAGACACTTAAGAAAGTGCTCAACATCCTTAGCCATCCGGGAAATGCAAATCAAAACAACTCTGAGATACCATCTCACTCCTATCAGAATGGATAAAATCAAAAACCCCAATGACAATTTATGCTGGAGAGGATGTGGGGAAAGGGGAACACTCCTTTACTGCTGGTGCGAATGCCGACTTGTACAGCTACTTTGAAAATCAGTATAGAGATTCCTCAGGAAAATGGGAATCAGTCTACCACAAGATCCAGCAATTCCACTCTTAGGCATATACCCAAAAGATGCACATTCATAAAACAAGGATGTCTGTTACACTATGTTCATAGCAGCATTATTTGTAATAGCCAGAACTTGGAGGCAACCTAGATGCCCCTCAACTGAAGAGTGGATAGAGAAAATGTGGTACATTTACACAACGGAGTACTATTCAGCAGAAAAAAACAATGGAATCTTGAAATTTGCAGGCAAATGGATGGCACTAGAAGAAACCATCCCGAGTGAGGTAACCCAGTGACAAAAAGAGAAACATGGTATGTACTCACTCATTTATGGATTTTAGACATGAATCAGGGGAATGCCAGCATACAATCCCACTGCCAGAGAGTCTAGGAAACAGAACCTTCATCCAATGACTGATGAAAGCAGAGGAGATACCCACAGACAAACACTGAACTGAACTCCTGGAATCCAGTGTCAGAAAGAGAGAACTGATGGGCAAAGGAGTTAAGACTGGGCTGGTTTAACCCACAGAAACAGTTGACCTGAACAAGGGGGAGCTCTTGGACCCCAGAATAATGTCTGTGTAGAAAGCATGGGACTGACCCAGACCCCCTGAATGTGGGTGTCAGTGAGGAGGCCTAGGTAATCTATAAGGCCTTGGGTAGTATTTATCCCTGGAGTACAAACAGACTTTGAGTGCCCATGCCACAATATGGGAGGCTCTCTCAGCCGGGACTCTTGGGGAGGGCCTAGGCCCTGCCCTGGATGAAATGACAGTCACTGGAGATCCACCATGGAGGACCTCACCCTCCCTCACCTGGTAATCCCCAATCATCACCTCTTCATTCTCAGTTCACAAGTTCAAGGCAAAGAAAGTTGCTGTCCCTTGCAACTCCTGAGATGGCCTCCAAATGTTATAGTCATAAATATATCTCAGCCACAGATTAGAAGGCACCGATGGGGCTTGGGGAAGGGATTTCAGCCAGATGGCGGAATGATGAATCATCCTGTGTTAATGAATGCACAGCTTGGCTCAGCCTCCTCTGAGGTGTACCTGCCCCTCACCTGGAAGCTGGGGGGTTAAGTCTGGCAGAGAGGCTAAAAGCATGCTGGGGATCCTAGGCACTTAGGGGTAGGGTAGATAAGAAGCAGGGGGTTCCTTGGCCCTGTGGGGAGGTCTACCCTTGAAGTTAGCTTCTCTGCAGCCGAAGACTCAGTAGAACTCTCTCTTGATTGGCAGGTCCCCCTGTGAACGTGAGTTGCAACATCTTCATCAACAGCTTCGGCTCCATTGCTGAGACAACCATGGTGAGTACATTATAGCAACCACTGTTCCTGCAGTAGGTGTCTCTGCCCTGAGAATGTTTCTCCTCTACACTTCGTTTCCCTCCAAGAAGTCCCGTATATCCGTGTATAAGAAAATGTCACAATGGAGGCTGTGTATCATGGTACATGCCAACAATCCCAGGCTCAGGAGGCAGAGGCAGGAGGATCTCTATGAGTTTGCGGCAAGCCTAATCTTAGAGTGAGTTCAAGGCCATCCAGACCCTGTCTCAAAACACCAAAAAAAATTACAAAAAAATGTTTTAAAAATTAAACAACAAGGCTCAGGAAGTAAGTAGATCAGTCATTGAAGTGTTTGCCACTCGGGCATGAAGACCTGAGTTCAATCCCCAGAATCCACTTTAAAAAATGGTGTGGTGACATAAATTTCTAATCCCAGCACTGGCAACCAAGAGAATGGAGACAGGCAGATAGATGCCTGGGGCATGCTGGCCACCCAGACTAGCCTAATGGGGAACACCAGGTTCTTGTGAAAGACTCTGTCTCAAGAATAAGCTGGATGGCCCCTAAACAACACCCAGGGTTGACCTCTGGCCTACACACACACACACACACACACACACACACACACACACACACACACACACACACACACACAAAACAATTTACTCACACCAAACAACAGGGTGTCTAGATTAAAGGAAAATATATCCAGCTGTGGAAGTGCACACCTGTAATGATGGCAGGTTGTAATCTTCAAGAAGTTGAGGCAGGGGGATAAAGACTTAAAAGCCAGTCTGAGCTCCAGTCTAAGTAAGACCCAGTTTCAAAAATAAATCAACAAAAGTGAAAGCCTGCTAATGGCTTTCAAATTTACCCAGTGGATGAAGGAGCATGCTCATTATCGATGGTGAAATGGCCCTGTGTTATTTGCTCTCTGTTTACTATGATTTAAAATTCTGTAGTAAAAGGTTTTAAATAAGTCAGTTGCTCTAGGGGAGAAAAACAGGAGGTAAAGATTGGTAAATGTTAATAGTGATCATTTGTGACTCATAGATTGTAGGTAATTTATTTTATTTTATTCTGCCAGCATTGCTCCATCTTTCACATTTCTATGGAAAGTAGATATGACATTAGGAATTCCAAACGTATGAAATGACAGTTTAAAAGTTTTTCTTAGTCACACGAAACAAAACATAAATCAATTGTACTCAGATGGAGGGAGTGATCTAGCTTGTAAGAAAAAAGAAAACAAAAAGCAGCCTGGAATCAACTTGTGACTAGAGGAGGATTCAGCTCCCCCAACATTCACACACTAACACTTCATGTCCCCAACACACTGCCACCAACCTCTGCATCTTCTCTGCCAAAGCTTCTTAAAGTTTTTCTACATAGGACCCCTTCATGCCCAATACATTTTTACATGACCCCAAGTATGTAAGTATGTTAAATAAGTATACAAATTAAATATTTACTGATAATAATACAGAAATTCATCTTAAGACAATTATTTAATATGTATGTAATTTTACCACTTATTAAAGACAAAGGGAATATTTATACTAAAGTAATAGATATGCTTAGCTTCCTTTTACATAAGTAAATAAAAATTTTGGGTACGTGTATGTGCCTATACCTCTGTATGTGGATCTCTCTCTCTCTCTCTCTCTCTCAGTGTGTGTGTGTGTGTGTGTGTGTGTGTGTGTGTGTGTGTGTGTGTGTGTAGTGCATGTGAGTGTGTGAGTGGGCATGATCATGAGAATGCAATTGCAGAGACCAGAAGAGAACATTGGGTGTCTTCCGTCTATCTCTTTCATCTCTCTTTGCTTTATTGCTTGAGATAGGTTCTCTTTTTTTTATCATTTTTTATTTTAATTTTAAATAGCTTGTTTTACATGTCAATCCCAGTTCCCTCTCCCTCCCCTCCTCCCGCACTCCCCTTCCCCCCTCCCTCCCACCCTATTGCCAAATCCTTCCACATAGGGGATATCTAGAGTCTGTCATTTTACTCTTGGTAGGGTCCAGGCACTCCCCTAAGAGTCCAGGCTGTGAGAGCATCTCTCTTTGTGCTATAGGCACACGAAGACTGTTTGTATACCAGGGATAGACACTGATCCACAGCTCAGGGCCGAGATAGGTTCTCTTGATAAACAGGAAGCTTGCCATTTGGGGTAGGCTGGCTGGATAGGATATTCCTGGAATCTTCAAGTCTCTACCCCTTCAATGCTAGAGGTGTAAATGCTCATAGTCTTGCTTAGCTTTAAAAAAAAGGAAAAGAAAAGAAAAAGAAAAAGCAGGGTCTTACTGTATATCTCTAACTGGCCTAGAACTTCATATGTAGTGCGGGATGACCTTGAACTCACAGAGATCTGCCTGCTTCTGCCTTTGAATGCTGGAATTAAAGGTGTGTGCACCACACCAGCCTTTCATGCTCAGCTTTTTATTTAAATGCTGGGGATTTGAACTTAGGACCTCATGCTTGCACAGGAATCACTCTTCCCCAGCCCCCAAAACTTAATTCTGACCAGATACTTGACACTGTAGAATACAAGGCACTGTCAACATTTTCCAGAGTAGATCAGTATTGTGATTCAGAACCATCAGTGCCAAAAGCCATCAATATACATCGCACCAACACACAGTACAAAAGCGGCAGATGTGTGTTTAAGACATTTTCAGAAATTGTTGGAAATTTTGCCCTAATCCCAAACCAAAACACATCCAATTGTTTTTTTAATGAAACTAAAGTCAGCAGTCTAAATAGCAATTTGCAAAGTCAAACATTCCAACAGAGTGCAACAGAAAGATACTGATTTGAAATACGCACACTCAAAATTACAGTAGGAAATACTGTCTTTGTTTTCCACAACTGCACCATGACTGTCTGCGGGAGTAGAAAACTTTGTATGTGGGGCTAAAGACACAATTTAATTGGAGCAGTGCCTACCTAGCATGTAGGATGCCCTGGATTTGATGCCTCAGTACCACATAAACTGTGTGGGTCAGTTCATGCCTCTAATCCCAGAACTCAGGAGATGGAGGCAGGATGATCAGAAGTCCAAGGTCATCTTTGGACACACAGCAGGTTCAAATCCAGCCAAGCACCTCAAGGAGCCCCTCACTGGAGTCTCAGATCTCTACTCTGGTACAGTTTCCAGTCACACTTACCAGACTGTTTGCCCCTCCCAGGACTATACTGGGAGTTCAAGGCCGGCTGAATTCTTGTCTCATTTCCTGAAGTGCCCAACCTCAGCAGCCAACAGAGCGATGCAGCTGCAGAAACTCAATCATACTGTTAAATAAACAAGCCAAAGCAGATGCACTGCTCACTGAGCCCAGCTGTTGCTTGGTCTCCAACATTTACAAACACTGGACCTGTTCCTCCCATTGTTGACTTACAAAATCACTGAACTCTTCTTGGGGCAAAGGGACCAAAATCTATCCTCTTGCAAAGAAACTTGTCTTGACAGGGTCAAGGTGTGGTGTGATGAGACTGTGGCTCAGCTGGTAAAAATGTCTGTCACACAAACATGAGGACCTGAATTCAGTCCCCCAAAGCCCACATTAAAAACCGCGTATGTTAGCACACACATCTCAGTGTGGAGGAAGTGGAGACAAGCAGGTCCCTGGAGGCCAGGTGCAAGGTGGAAACCCAACCATAGCACCAAGCTCAGGGTACCTAAGGGGAAAATAGCAGATGATGACTCTGGAGACAGCCCACAGGAGGAGTCCAAGGAAATGTCAGTGTTCACAAAATGAAGGACTGGCAATCCATTTCCCTTGGGATGACCTAAAGGGTATAGGCTTTGCTCCGTGTCAAGCAGGACAGAGGTAGCCCACCTCCAGCCCACATACCCTAGAATACTATGATATGTTTTTATTATCTTCCTAACTACATATATTTGCCTAATTTACTTTGTATATGACCCAGAAAGAAATCTAAAATCTCAGACCTAGAGGAAAAAATGTAGAAATTACCTACCATAGTAGTACACACCTTTAGTCCCAGTACTTGGGAGGCAGAGGCAGGAGGATCTCTGTGAGTTTGAGTCTACTTAAGCAAGGTCACATGGCACAAAACAGTGTTCCAGAACATCCAAAAGGATTTCTTTACAGTAGCCAATGCTTCTCTTGCTGGACTCCCTTCTTCCCTTAAACAGTGCTTCTCAACCTTCCTATACTGCAACCCTTTAATACAGTTCCTCATGTTGTGGTGAATCCCAACCATAAAATTACTTTCATTGCTACTTCATAACTGTAATTTTTCTACTGTTATGAATCATAATGTAAATATCTGTGTTCTCAGGTGACCCCTGAGAAAGGGTCATTCATCCCCCCAGGGGTCTCTCCCCACAGGTTGAGCACTACTGCCTTAGATTCTACCAAAAAAACTTCCCCCATGTGTGTGTCCTTCCCAGTCTTTTAGGATATTTTTATGGAGCCAGCCTGAGTTTGTGTTAACAGCAAGAGTGGCTACTTGTTTACAGAGCCCCCGAGATGGTGCTGTGTGTCAAGCAGTGAGCAGAGCATTCTGCTTCCGTTATTTCATTTAGATTCCCAAAAACCCCCAAGGTAGGCAAGGTCACTTCCAGTAATAAGTGCAGGAACTCAAGGTCAGAAACCTTAGGGTGTTTGGGTGTTTATCTAAAGACACACAGCTAGTAAGTAGCCAAGATAGACTTTGAATTCAGATTTCTCTCACCTCAAAGCTTGTGTTTTCCTAAATACTTGGGATCATCCAGACTTGCTTGTCTTGTTTCATTAAGGGCATCTGAGCTGAGAGGAAGCTCACTGACTGACAGGGAATGGATGGGGGACCAGAGGCAGGACTGTTCTTGACCACAGATCCCCATGGCTCCACACAAAGGGCTGCCCGGGCACCAAGGGTTATAGCAGTACAGATAAAGTCACCGTGTCAGAGCCTTTTCAGGTTCTGTTGGTTCTACAGAACAACAGGAGATATTGCAGCCCTAGAAGCAACTGGCCAAGCCATCCTTCCCTCCTTCCCTTCCCTCTGTTCCTCCCTCCTTCTCCCTTTTCTTCTCTCGGGGGACCTGGCTTTGTTCACCAGGCTAACAGACCTAAAAGCAGAGAAAGATAAAAATACCACAATGATCTCTACTTATCTGGCCAAAGTTAGCCCTCACCAACCTTCCCCGAGTGGTGTCAAAAGGCTAAAGGAGAAAAAAAGGTAGGAAGAGGACCCCTTATATAGCAACTGTCTACAAGAGAAATATCTGAACCAGTGGTTCTCAACCTGTGGGTTACAACCCCTTTGGAGTCTTATCTGATATCCCCACACGTCATAGAGTTCATAACAGTAGTGAAATTACAGTTGCAGAGTAGCAGCAAAATTGTATGATGGGGTTCATCACAACATGAGGAACTGTATTAAACTGCATTAGGAAGTTTGAGAACCGCTGTTCTAGCTCTAGAACCCAGCAGGAAGCAACCTACTTTCCCATACACATGTGCATGAGTTTGTATCTGTATAGTACAAAACCTATATTCCTGTTCAATATGTGTGTACATGTGTGGGCTGTGGGATTATAGGGACATATAGATGAACACACATGTAGACATGTAACATTAAAGAGCCACACCCATGGGAAATATGACTGTGAGCTTGTGTGCACTGGGCTCATATGTATTCATGAAGAGAAGTGTACATCTGTTGTACTATGTATTCTGAACTCAGCTTTGTCAACAGTTAGCAGCATCCTCCATGGATTTGTTTCAAGTTCCTGCCTTGAGTCCCTGCCCTGACTTCCCTCTATGTAGACTGTGACCTGGCAGTCTAAGCTGAAATAAATCCTTTCCTCCCCTAAGCTGATTATGCTCAGAGTGTTTTGTCACAGCACAGAAAGGAACCAAGAATGCTCTGCCACCATGAAATACCTCTGAAGTGCAGCTCCCTCTAACACTTGTCTCTAAGAATGGGGCACACATACCAGGCTTTTTCTTTGGGGCTACCCACCAGCTCCCAAATCATGACACAGGGACTTATTGTTAGTTTTGAATGTTCAGCCCAGCTCTGTTAAACTTAAATTAACCTTCTTATTTACCTTTAGCCTGGGGGATTATTACCTTTCTTCTGTATATCGTACTTTCACTGCTTCTCTATGGCTGGCATCTGCCTTGCTTCTGACTCCAGGGGTCTCCCTAGTTCTCTGCTCCTCCTTCGACTCTCATTCCTTTTCCTTTCCTCTCTTTCTACGTTTCTCCTCTTATTTATTCTCTTTGCCTGCCAGCCCCGCCTATCCTTTCCCTTGCCTAGTTATTGGCCATTTAGCTTTTTATTAGACCAATCAGGTGCCTTAGGCAGGCAAGGTGAAACAAATGCAACACATCTTTTCATAATAGAACTAATGCAGCACAAACAATTGTAACACATCTTTGTATTGTTAAACAGATACAACATAAACAAATGCAACACACCTTTACACAGTTAAAGTAGTAGTCTGCAGCATACACAAATGCAACACATATTTGCCTAGTTAAAATAATATTCTATCAGAGGCACAGGCTCACACAGGGCACTAGACATGTGAGTCTTCTCTGACTGCTACAGAAGTACAAGACATGATTAACTACTGAGCTGTCAGCCAAAGACTCCAACACAGAAGCACAAAAAAGATGCCTTCCTGCTTATTTTTATTTGCTGACCTGGCCTTATCCCTGTGTTCTTTCCTCCCCCATTTACAGACCTGTGAATGCTAAATGTGGCATGGAGCTCTAGGGCTGTGTCTGGTTCCACTTGACGTCTCTTAGGCTAGACTTCCCCAGAGTGAGGAAGCTAACAAATGTGTCTTCCAACAACAAAGGTTCCTTCCTCCCTCATCCAGACTCTGCTGTGAAGCAGAGGGTTCTCTGGGGCTCCACGGTCCTCAGGTACCAGCTCAGCACTCAGTTTCCATATCAACCATGTAGTCAAGGAGATGTAATGCATTGCAAGACTGAGCATTGCTGTGTTCCTCAGCAGAGTGGGCTGCCCAAACATTAGCAATTGACTTTGTCACAATCCTGGAAACTAGAATCTAAGGTCAAGGTGCTGTCAGAGTTGGTTTCCAATGAGACAGGCTTCCTGGCTTGTAGACAATGCTATCTTCTACGGCATCCTCTCAGGCCTTACCTTTACAGAGTGAGGGAGGAAGGGAATAAAAGAGAGGGAACCAGTGTCTCCCTCCCTTTTAGGAAACTTTATTATGTTATTTATTTAGTGACTGTGGGTGAATGTGTGTATGAGATAGAGAGCATGCACACACATGCATTACCATGACAGTCAGAGAACATTTTTCAAGAATGAATTCTCTCCTTTCACCTCTATATGGATTCCAGAAATCGAACACAGGTCATCAGGCTTATGCAGGCTTGATGAGCCATCTTTCCAGCCCCTGTGTTATTCTGCAACAGAGTCTGTCTCTGAGCCTGGAGTTCACCAATTCTGTTAGACTGGCTGGCCAACCAACCCCAGGAATCATCCTGTGTCCACCCACCCCCATTCCCACTCCCCCACCCCCACCCCCGCCAGCACGGAGGTTGCAGGTGCATGCTACCCCACCTGGATTTTTACATAAGTGCTGGGGAGCTAAACTTAAGACCCTGTACTTAGGCAGCCAGCAGCTTCTCTACTGAGCCATTTCCCCAGTCCTGGTGTGCACGTTTTGAAAATATTTTGAGAAATATTATTGTCCATCCCTCTTCTAGAGAAACCTCCATCACCTGTCTTATCAACAGTGGTGATCATCCTTCACCCAGGATATTATCAAGCTTTTTATCATCACCAAACATGGTTTTCAAAATGCTACTTCACTGTCACTTTTAATTTGCACTCTCGATTCTTAGCAAATGGGAGCCTCGATGTATATATTGATTGGGCATTTTGAATAATATATAGGTGTGTGTGTATGTGGTGTGTGTGATGTGGGGGAGTGTGTGTGTGTGTGTGTGTATGTGTGTACTTATGCATACATACCTAGAGACCAGAGGATAATATTGGACACCCTCCTTTAACATTCTCTGCCTTATTCTTTTTGACAAAGTCTCTCACTGAACCTGGAGCTCGCCATTTCCAACAAGGCTGATCAACAAACTCCAGGGACACTCCTAATCCCACCTGCACAGCACTGGGGATACAGGCATGCCTGGCCACACATGGCTTCTTATGCAGGTGTTGGGGATTCAAAATCAGGTCTCACACTTGTGCAGCATCAAATGCTCTTACTCACGAAGACTTCATTTTCTTTATCTGAAACTTTTTTGTTTTTGTTTTGTTTTGTTTTTAGAGACAGGGTTTTTCTGTGTAGCTTTGGAGCCTGTCCTGAAATTCTAGACCAGGCTGGCCTCAAACTCATAAAAATCCACCTGCCTCTAACTCCCAAGTGCTGAGATTAAAGGTGTGAGCCACCACCTCCCAGAATCATCTGTAACTCTTCAATCCACTTTATTTTCCTGTGAAATATTTGTTTCTTGGTTGCTTAACTCTTTCTCTGGTTGAGTAGCAAGTACTTCAAGAACTTTAGTGCTTGTTTTGTTTTGTGGGTTTTTGTTTTGCTTTGCTTTGTTTTTGACATGGGTCCCATATATCCTAGGCTACCCTCTAACTCCTAGTTTGAAATGCTGTCTTTCTCATAAATTGAATTCTATCTATACAATGCCTAGCCTCAATTCTTCATCTGTTTCCTTCTCCTGTCCTGTCCCTACCAATACCACACCTTAGATCACTGTCATGTCTGGCAGAGTCCTCTGTTGTTCTCTTACAAAGTTTTCTTGACCCAACTAGCCATTTTTGCTTCCATATGCACTCTATTTTTTATCAGCCCATTCTTTGTGGTAATGCAAAGGATACGGATACAAATATCTAGGAAAAGGATTAAAGTGTGAGGAGGGGGGTCAAGGTGACATCATAGGGCAAAGTATAAAGTCAGATGAGAAATACAAGTTGGAGGCAAAACCTCTAGAGTGCTTGAGAGGTTCTATAGAGAGGGCGACTTTGGTCTCTAAGGCGCTTTGTCAATCCGTGAGACTTAGAGGGAAAAGAAGGGCTGTGTGATCCCAGGGCATTCAGGCTTCAGTACTGGAGGATGGGGAGGAACTGTCAGTGGGAAGATGGCTCTGGGAAATTCTGCAGGCCTTGTAGTTCTCTAATTTCCTCTAGCATCATGTGGATATGAGCCTTGATATTCATGGAGTCCTTGGTGGGGCTGTCACTGAGTTCTGTGAGAAGAGAACTCTTTCAGCCAATGAATATGAGAGTCTCAATCAGTGTCAATGCCAGGACAAAAGCATATCCCTGGGCCACATATAGATGTGTGAAGTATCTGGGACCACTGTGTCAACACAGAAGTTACAGCCCAAATCCACCTTCGATGTAACTCTGAATGCTTACTTGGAGTCACTCAATGATATTTCTCAGTTGGAGGTATAAGGGCAGCTGCTCATATACCTTGCCTCCATGTTCCCGCACCGTTGACACTATAGCACATCACTGATAAAGGCCTCACATCACAGCACTTTCTCCCCCACAGTTTCCAAGACCCCGTTTGGGGGTGTTGTCATGATGGACTCCAGTACCCAAGTGCAGGCTTCGCTCTGTATTATTTTGTCGTGTATGAGTGTGTGTGTATGTGTGTGAAAATTATTGCTGCATATTGATTATGTAAATTATTGGGTTCCACTGTAATACATGTTTTCATGGAATCTACCCTTCCTCCCAATGAACTTCAATCAACATTTTGAAGCCTATAAAAACCTCTTCCAGTTCTAACTGGAATGGCATTGAGTTCATGGGAATTCACATGGAAACAATTGGTATCTTTCCAGTATTTTCTAAACATGGTGCATCCTTTGCATTTACAGAGGTGCTCAATAATCCACTGATGACAAAGAGAAAGCAGAGGCCATTCAATTCTGCAACGGGCAGAAAATGAGGCATTGGGCAGTCTTGGAAGCATTTTCTCATAACTGCCCTCAGTCCACCCCTGAGGAGGATGCCACAGCCAGGAGTTTATGACAGTCCAGAGTATAGCTTTCCATCAGACCAAACTTAGGAACAGCTGACATAACCATATAATCCAAAAGAGACTGAAGTAGAGAGACCAGAGTGCCAAGCTATTCCACTTTACAATGAAGCATACTTGTGCTCACAAAGGCAACGGGGCTTGCTCACATGCTCATGAAGGAACTCCCTTGCTACCACTGACCACATGCTAGGATGCCCAAGAAATAGTTCTGAAATACCTCTTGCCTGACTACCCAGTAGCCCTTTTCCAGTGACAAGGAATGATGACTCCATGGTTAAAAGCACTGGCTGATCTTCTAGTGGACCCAGGTTCAACTCCAAATACCCATATGGCAGTTCACAACTGACTGCAATTCTGGTTCCAGGGAATCCTATACCCTTTTCTGGCCTCTGTGGACACCAGGCACACACATGATATCAGCACATGAACTCATGCAAGCACATGCACATACACATGAAAATAAATGAATAATGTTTAAAATACAGTAGGTAAAATGTTTGCTTTGTAAGCATGTTGACTTTCATTCCAATCCCCAACATCCACATTAAAAAGATAGGCATAGCACATCTATAATCCTAGTGCTATGTAGGTGGGCACAGGAGGATCCCTGAGACTTATTGGCCAGATACTTGGGAAGCTCCAGGTCTCAGTAAGAGACACTGTCTCAAAATGATAAGGTGTAGAGCAACCGAGAAAGACACCAGATGCCAACCTCATGCCTCCTCATGCATGGGTACACAGGTGCACATGTACATGCATGTACACATGCGAACATGTACACACATATATTCATTGTAAACATACATAAGTAGTATCCATTGGGACATGGAAACCCTGACCCTCAGATGATACAGCATCACTAACTGCCAAATCCCTTCCTTTTCTCTGCTCCACGACCTTCCTTTTCTTGTACTATGAAATTACCCCCAACTTGTCTACAAAGTCATCCTGTAAATGAGTTGCATCAGGGTGCTACTTATTAAATTAAAACACATTCCTAAGAAGCTCAGTCAATAGAGTGCTTGCCTGGTATTAGTGAAGGCTTGAATTCAATCCCCTGCACCACATAAAAACAGGCATATAACGCCAGCACTCTGGAGGTGGAGGCAGGAGTGTCAATGATTTAAGGTCATCCTCAGCTACACAGTGAGTTTGAGGCCAGC